CACACACACACACACACACACACACACACACACACACACACACACACCCTGAAGCAGAAGGAAGGAGGGATATGACTAAGAACCATGGACACAGTGCAGAAGGAGCTGTTAGGAATTAATAGTAGAGGTGGTGCAAGAATCCGGATGATCAGAGGTTGGGACGATGCTGGGGTGTGGTGACTAAGACTGTGGAGCTACAATGAAAAGAATTGTTTCTTCGATTTAAGGTATTTTTTTTCAAGCTGGAGAAATAAAGGTGGAGGGGCTGATGCTCTGCTTGCTGAAGGGATGGCAGACAGAAGTTTTAGGTCCCACTGCAGCTCTGTCCTCCACAGCAGAGGGAAGGGCCTTCATCTTGGAAATGCTTAAAGGGTAGTCATAGCAGCGGCAGCCATACCTAGGAGACAGAGGCGGCTGTCGTGAGGCGCTGTGGGTGGCTCCCCCAACTCCAGGACTCCTGGTTATGGTGTCCTGGCTCAGGGAGGCAGGTCACCAGTGCTCCCCACCGTGGTGGACAGTGATGTCATCCCAGATAACAGGGAACTAACTCCAGGCGCTCACCCGTACATTAAATGTTTCACAGGGTAATCCCCTGGAACAAAACCAGGGAGGCTTTTCCGTCTCCTCTCTGGCCTTACTCAGAAAAAAATGCCTGGTTAAGGAATAGTGTCCTAAATAATGCTTACATAGGCGAATTGTGCCTAATTGTTACGAATAAAACTGGTGTGTACCGAGTTGTTGGACTGAGAACTTTCACACAGTATTAGACTTCTGTGCAGTCGTAAATGAATAAACTTAAGGCGGCCACACTGTGAGCTCAGGCTGGGCTTGCTGTCTTGCCAGGACCCTCTACACCCATCTTCTGGCGTATTTTTAAAAATTCTTGATTTGGTTATTTTCTTCTGTTATTTTTTTTCCTAGAGAAGAAATGGATCTCGAGACAGCCTGATTGAAGAAAAATCTCAGCTCTCTACAATCAATCTGGCTGGAAAGCACACAGCAAAAACAATAAAAACTATCCAGGCTGCCCGCCTCAAGACAGAGACTTGACCTGGTGAAGGGGCAAAGGGCAGGAGTAGAAATGCTGTGTGCCACTGGTAATTTTGATACTGTGAATTAGATTACTATCCACATCTTGGACATGTGTCCATAGCACATTAAAAAAAAGGCATCTTCTAAGGGTTTCTGCACAGCATTCTTGTGCTGTGGGGCCAGCTGACTGGAAGGACACCCTTACGAACTCGCTGGACGCCGTGATCTTCTCTGAGAGCCTAACCATTAACTCCATGTGTCTCCACCACAGCCAAGACCAGATGCTTCTGCTGAGGCCCTGGACTCCGGCCTGCCTCGGACTGTAGTGACTTTTATTCCCTTAAAGCTGTTTGTTAATATTGTATTTTGTGGCATCAAGTCCCAATGGTTATTTACAAATTAATGTAAAAAGGTGTTAAGTGTTTGAATTTAAGTGTCGTTCGTCTTGTGTTTTCTGAGAGAAAAAGAAAAAAAGCTTGTGTAGACTTTGTTCCCCATTCAACACACCTGGACTCCCATGTTCCCAAAAGTTTTGGACCTTTTCTCTGCTCAAGAGTTGAGAGGGCCAGTACCCAAACAGAACCCTGTTACTGTGCCATCAGCTGTGGCTCACCTCTAGCTTCCTTGAAATTCTCTGCCTCTTCACTTTGAAGACAAGGTCTCAGTTGCCCAACGTTGCTCCACATGCCTCCAGCTGTTCCCTGAAGGACTATCTTCACCATCTTAATGCTCATCAAAACTCAACAGCAGACTGCTCCGTGAACAGTGCTCGCCCAACTCTACCCCCAACTGCTGTGGCCTTCACTCCCACACCAATAAAACCAAATCCAAGGATTCCTCCCTGCCCAGTACCCCAAGCTTCACTTATGTTCTGTCCTTTCCTACTGCAATTCTCGTGTTTCCACACCCTTTGTAGCTTACCTCACTGTGATAACCTCACCTACCTGCCTGGAACTGGCTCAGCCGGGCTCCCATCTTGCTTTAATAAAACCCAAGCCTTAGCAGTCTGGTCTCTTTACTGCCTTAACTCTAAGGCTCCCCACTTGCACACTGGCCTCGTTTACCTGCCCCAAAGGTTTTTAAGTTGTCCTCACACGCTTATTTTTTTCTAACTTTGCAATGGCACCCAAACTGCTTCTTCATACTCAGATCTTCTGTCTAGATTCATCTCACAAAAGCTTTCCATTTATGCCCCTCTATGGCATGACTAAATTTTATGTCTCTGTGTAATAGCTGTCCCTTCCTGTTAAGCAAAAGGGAGAGCTTTTGCCAAACTAAGCAGAAATTAGTTTAGCTGCTACAGATGAACCAACAGTTGGGAAAAGCAGCATATTAAGTATTCATAGGACTGGAGAAATGGCTTGGCAGTTAAGAGCACTGCCTGTTCTTCCTGATGGACCTAGGTTCAATTCCTAGCACCCACATGGCAACTCAAAACTGTTAATTCCAGTTCCAGGGGATTTGACACCCTCAGACATACATGCACACAGAACACGAATGTACATAGAATAAAAAATATTTATTCATAGCCTTGTTACAAATGTGCATTCACCCATGCAGTGTTTCAACCGTCCATGCCTCCGAGATCAAATTTTCAAATCAAGGACACCCTGAAAGAAAAAACATTTTACATGTTTGTCTGCAAGCATTTTGTGCATAAATCCCCTACCACAGCCTTTTTACTCACTTACACCTAGGAGATTTGGCAGGCCTTTTTCTAGCTAACACATGGATTCATAAAGCCACCACAATGTGTTAAAAACTACGTAAACAGGTACCATGAAAGAGGCCTGACAGGCGAGAAAGGGCAGAGTAGGGGAGGGATGAGAACCAGGTGCTCATTTACAGCTCCTGGGCAGCTTAACTGCTGCTGGGTGTGTGTGCGGTTGCCACACACCTGGTGGGAGACACAGGACATCATAGGTCACCACGCAACCGAGGAGCAGGCTGCCTAAATGCTAACACAATGTACATTTACGATCTATACTACATACTCGGGGGGGGGGGGGGGGCATCCATAAAAGTTGGCCGACGGGCAGAAAGTGTCTCGCCTGCGTACTTTCTGATAAGCAGCAGCAGTGCAAATCAATCGGCAAGGCTAACGATCCGATGCACCCCAACTTAAATCCCCACACAACTTGTGCTTTGCAGCCAACCTACCTTAAACCATCTTTGTGCTCCCGCGTTGTCTGGAAAAAAACAGAATCCGCTTCAGACGCCCACCTGCCAGACGAGTAAGAACCAGTTATAAGAAACCACAGCCTCAGCGCTAGGCAGTAAATTCACTTTCATGTAGAAAGTCAGAGCAGACCTTCTGTTACTTACGCAGCTCCTACACCCAAGGTACCAAACTCCAGGGTTAAGAAAAGGCCGCGAAGCATTACTTTAAGCCTTTTTTGACACCACATTCACCAGTGACCAACGGTGAACGGGCAACACAAAGGCTACGTGAATAGCGTCGGGCCGGCTCTATCCACACTCAAAGCTAGTTAGCGGACGACCAACCCCACCTTCCGGCTGTGACGTTCACTCCACTTTCGCGCAGCTTTGCACCTGGGCATGGGGCGAAGCTCTACACCACAAACGGCGCTCGGCTCCCACACCGCGCCACTTCACACCGGGTCCGGCGGGTCATGCCCCGTCGCTCGGCCGCCGGGTCCGCGCCACCTCCCCATCTTCCGGGAGAGGAGGGCGGCCCACACGCTGCCGCGGACACCCTCGACCCCGCACCCTCGCCAGCCATCGAGCAGCCGCCGCCGCCCGCACTGCCACGCTACGCTCCCCGAGAGCGCGCAGAAAGGCCGCGCAGCCGTCCCACAATGCTTTTCTACGGCCGGAAGAGCCCACTGTCCGCGGAGGTGGGCGCGGGCGGACCGTACCACGGCCGCCGCGCGCTCTCCTGCCGCCCCGTGGCCGGAGGGAGAAGTGCACCGCGGGAGGCGGCGGCGCGCGTTTCCTAGAAAGAGGGCGCTCGGCCGGTCCCTCGGCTGCTGTGGGACCGGCCCTGCCCTTCGCCCCAAGTCGCGCCGCAGATAGGATAATGAAGAGGTTTCGTCCGGTGTGTATCCATCTGTCCCTCCTTCCTGGGCCCCGAGCCGAAGGAGCTCAGACGCAGAGCTGGGGGAGGCCAGAAGTTGCTCCTCTTCCGGATGGAGAACAGTTAAGATCGAACATCTAAAAAGCAAAACCAAAACAACGAGCACCGGGTTCGCACGGCCTAGTGTTGGACGATCGACAAACACACACACACTGCAGTAAGAGCCGTGAAGACTGGGGTGTGCCGCCGCACCCCTGTACCGCCAAGCAGTTGAAGGAGGAGGGTCAGGAATTCATGGTCATCCTGGGCTACTTCGTGATTTGGAGGCCAGCCTGGGCTACCTAAGCCCCAGTCTCCAAACGGAACAGTCCGCATAACCGCCACCCAAACCCGAAGTGAGCATTACAATAGTAATTTTAAATTCTCAAATTTCAACAATACAAAACTTGGAAGCTTAATTTAAATAATAACCCAACATTCATGAGATAACAAATAGGAGTTTGTTTGTCTGTTTTTGTTTTTTTTCCAGACAGGGTTGCTCTGTGTAACAGAGCCCTGGTTGTCCTGGAACTTTGTAGACCAGGCCTGCCTGGTACTCAGAGATCAAACCTGGCTCAGCTGGGATTAAAGGCGTGTGGCACCATGCCTGGCTAAGAATAAACATTGTTAGACGAGGTGCTTTGATCTTTTCAAATTCCTTGAAAAATCTTAAAAATTACATAAAACACCCCCCCCCCACGCAAAATTCTATTCAGAAAAGGGCTATTTTATGTG